TATTGATATTGTTGACGTATATTCCTTGTCGTGACACGTATGATTTAGAACGTGAGGATCTCCTTTAACCAGGCCTGCTTGCAAGGCTCTGCGGGAATCACGTGGATTCTAATTGCATTGATAATCTAATCAGTTACTCAACATATGTACTGTATTTATTTTCTCGGTATCTTTTTACTTCTGTACTGGTCAGTTGACTAGCCAGGATCAACGGAAATCATGTTCGTGTAAACTGTGCTGCATTGACTGTCGTTGAACTACACTAAAAGTAATGGTTGTTCGTATCATCCATCGGTCCCTTCGTGAATCGGTCTGATGTGATGTGTAGCACTGTTACTCTTTTTTGTTACACAATGTGAAAACAGTGAAAGAAGAGATCCCCGTAAACAAAAGGCATACTGTAATTGGAAGAGCAGGGCGACGTTTAAGCAAGATCCACATTATTGATTATGCCTTTAAAGAGCGTGAGGTTGTAAGTTAAGGGAAACACAAAAGTGCCACGGTGTTCCACAATTTGACAGTTCGAGCCAAAAAGACATCTGGGAACCGAATTCTGATACGGATGACTAGATTCATATGTAAGGGATGGGCGGGCAAAAGTTGCGCGAATAGGAACTGCCGAGGAAAGCTCCTAAGAAGAAATTAGTAACAGTAGAGCAGAGACAGTGAAACAACTGCCCGACGATGACTACAGACTGGATGTCTGGGAAGGGTCATCGATCAGCCTTTCTTTGAACACGATAAAAAAGGAAGGAGAAGAAGACGGAGCCGCACCCCACACGTGACTGCAGTGTCAAAGAGCGGGGCAGATTTCAGCTTTGCACAGTAAAAGAACTTGAACTGGCGCGGAACAAAAAACGAACCTTGCTCGCAGCACGAGAAGCAAACTGAGCTATAAAAGGGGACCAGCATAAAGAAGAGGCTACAGGCATTCCAAGAAGCGAAACAGAGTTCGATGGAATCAAAATATGACCGAGGGGGGGGGGGGGNGGGGGTAAATAGCGTTTTAGAGAAATTGAAAAGAATGTTTTTGAAGGATTGGATGAAACGTGGTTGGCATTGCCTCAGGAGGAGCTGTGTTCAAGATCGGACTCCAGTGATGCATTAACTGCACTACGGTCACGATCGATGTTGTTTTGGGCATGGTGAGTAGTGCGGTAGGAGAGGGAGCAGTGGAGAGTAGCGTCATCGACAAAAGAATGGATCGGGTTGACGTGTTTGGCAAAGAGATCATTGATAAATAGAAGTAATAGTTTGGGTGCAAGTACTGAACCATGAGGAATGGCAACATCCACAGATAAGATCCCATCAACTCGACGGTGATGGTTCGCTTACTGAAGAAACTTGATATTCATGCTACGAAAGCCGGAGGGAACCCGAAAATGGGTAGTTTCGCCAGTGTCAAACTCAGTCGAAGGCATTTGCGCCAAGAGCCAGCAAGTCACGAGTGGAGCGACGATGTCGAAAACCATACTAGCGGTCACTCAGTAGTCCTTCACGTTCGAGGACCGTGCGTGGTTGGTCGGAGATGATAGTTTCAAATAGCTTCGAAAGAACAGATGTGAGAGAATTGGATCGATAATTGTTGGGGTCAAAATGGTCGCCGCATTTGGGAATAGGAAAAATAACGGCGTACTTCTATGGGGCTAGACAAGTAGAAATTTAGAAGAAAAGACTGAAAAGGCAACGTAAAATAGGAGCTAGATCGAAAGCACACATTTTAAGGACAATGGGTGGAATACTATCTGGATCGGGTGGTTTGTTTGCGCTTAGAATGCGCAGGGTTTGGTGGATTTCCCTGTTGCTAATAAGAGGAAGAAAAGGGTTGCCTGTGAAGGAAGAAGCAAGTTCTACCCACTATCTAGTTCATGTAGTTTGTGTAGTTTTTCGTCCTTAAATAATCTAAGCCTATCAGTGCTCTGTTTTCTCCGTCCACCCATGCTCTAGGCGATCTCTTCTACCCCACCGAATCCGAAAAATCCTATTTCACCCTCCAAATTGACTTCACCGTCCCTAACCAATTCCACTATCATGACTCGACCAACAGCATCTTCCTCTGTGCATGCGGCCGTAACTGGTTCTCATGGTTTTTCCCAATCGAGACGACGTGTGGGTGACCCGCGAGATATCCGTCCTGTCGAGTAAGCGTTTGCTTAAAAATGCACCATTCGGCTATCTGATAGTTCCAGCATACATGCGAACACTGCTTCACAGGCGAACGATTATTTTCATGGATTCTTCTTCTGGCTCGTTCTAATCATATCATTTCTCCTCGATCGACTCTTTGCTTCCCTATGATTCATACAGATTTTCTAGAATAAACCCGTCCTTCTAAATCGTCCCAGACAAACTCGCTGATGCTCAAGTTACTGCTCATCTTGGAATGTTGTGCGTCGTCATAAAACGGTGAGGATGTGATTATAAATCACGAAAAACGAACCCAGTGGTCTTTTCATGGTACGGCGATTGGGTTGGAATCCAAGCTAAACCGTACTGCTCGTAGTTTCCTACTGAACACGATAGTTCACCTAAAAGGAGATATGCAATACATCTCTGACTTTTATGAAACCCCTGTCCATCAGAACATGATAGTTGTATGATGGTATCACAATAGTAAACATGCCTTATATCGTTTTCACGCACAATGTTAGCTACTTTTCAATATTTCTCCACGTGGCTTTTCCGCATGGAGTTGTCATTGGGCTATTTGTAACTTACCTTATGCTAATCATTGGCACTCAATCACTTTCACAGCACGACAGCGTCCACCGCAGCTCGTCGAAGTGTCATGGCAATTCTCGCGGACAATCGGTATTCACACCACCCAGTTGAAACAGGTCATCGCAAGCGGAGATCTCCGAACCGTAATGGAAACTGAACGTGCGTTCCACAGTATTGATCCCGTTCATTCGCTCCCAGTCAGATAGGCAGACACTGTGTTGGCAAAGACGCACGCATCTGTGAGTCGCACAAACCTATTTGGGGCTTCCCTGATACTCTTCTCCTTCCGCCCTTACCTACCGGTTACGCGTATTGCGCACAGAAATGAATTTCGTGCTGTACATTCCACAAAAACTGACTTCCATACCATCAAGATATCATATCTGCATTATAATTCCATTTGTGGCTTTTTGTGTTCACTTAATTTGTGATTTGAAAATCCCCGTAATACCGTACAGACACATATCTGCTTGCTAAATAGAACGCGTTTCACTTACCGCTCAGTCTGCTCGCACACACGCACATCCGACCGACAAACAAGACATGCGTATAAACTACCTTTTCTTCCGGCTTTTTCTTCAGTGGACTTTTGCTACTTTTTCGACGGAATGATCACAACATTTCCTCCGTTTTTCTCTCTTACTGCTTATCTAGTGTCATCACTAGTACGGTTTGTCTGACGGGCAGTTTTTTCGCTTCGAATTTCGCTAAGTTTGTCCAGCTCCAAATGGTAAATTGCCCCCTCTCTCTTTCCATCTCTGTGTAGCGAATAGCTTCTCAAGTTTTTGTGCCATGGGCACTTGTTTTCCTTTGTTTTCTCCCTTCGTTTGCCTAGCCACCAAACACGCTTCACGTTTATCATGCCGCCGATTTTGCNCATCATGTGAAATAGTCACGTTTTTATTGGAGCTTCCGTTGTTTGCCTACCATTTGAAAGGGAGTGGGTCGTAAGTAACGTTATCTCATTCTTCACGATCCTGTTCCTCAATCTTATCACGCGATAGCTAACTGCACGCCTTCGCCAAAGCCACGAAATGTTTTCTTTAGCGCTATTCATAGAAAATTGTTTATTTTGAACTCATACAACGAGTGTGTTAAATGATCACCGGTGATGATCCATGGCCTGTGATGTGAGCACTTTCCCTCTGTGTTTCACAAGCCTCTTCACGGTCGGGATGCTGGGTTATACAAGGAGACAAAAGCAACATAAAAAAGCAGATCCAATAAGTCATCACCTTTTAATTGAATGCGAACTGGAACGCTTGTCTTGCTTGCTTAACTTAGTTTTTTTGTCAGTATTCATGATATGAAATTATTTATTGTTTCTGTTATTGGACTAGCTCTAGGAAAAACAGTTGCAAACTCACCTAACGAGTTACCGGTCGTTCACTGACGCGGCTCGGTCGACCCGTAGCATCTATTAGACAGTCTGGTTAAAGGATTGGCTTCCACAAAACCGCTTAGAGTACTCTAAAACTGTGAATCAGTAAGCAACATCAGACCGCCAAAAAGGCTCATTACAAGCGTGACAGAGAACTGCTCACTATGCCCTGCTGGCAGAACACGTGCACGTTTCCAGTGTAACACAAGATACCGTAAGACACAGGTAATGTAGCTACCAGTACATTCTACTTCACCAGCGTCAATACAAGAGGTGCGGCGTTCTGAAAATTTCATCACTTAGTTAGGGGGTTGACATTTTTTATGTTCGACAGATTTCTTTCACTTTGAATTTCCTTTTCCTTGAACAACAAAACGAAAACGGAAATGTTCACTTGTTGCATCAGTTGAAACCAGTGCTACGTCAAATTGCCCATCGCAGAGATTAAAATACTGCTGGGGACTCGTTCTGTTTATTGTTAGCATTTTTTGTTTCAGTTTCATTATTCTCGTTTCAACAGAGCTACTTTCAGTGTGGGAGTTAGGTTCCTGTTCTGTTTTCGACCAGGCATATTCCAAGAAAAGAAACGTGAGAACCAAATATCAGTATTCGTCAAGAGATATAGAGATAATGCGCACGGATGATACTAAAATAACGGTGATCTGTTTGTGTGCTTAACCACGATAGTCAAAAAACCGATCGGACACCACAAGCATCAACCGGTATGAGACGTGCATCTATAAAGAATTTTCACTAAGGTTACTACAGGTTGAGTAATGGTGCGTACACAAATCGGTTAAGTTCCTCATCGCGCCATAGGATGGAGTGGTGACAGAGAGAATGCGAGGTGTTTTTCACCTGTTAATGAGATGCAACATCAGCATGTTATACGCTTAGTGATTGGTCGGATAACGAATCCATCAATTGGGCAACTCATTTGTTCTACAGAACCATATTGAATCATACACTCAACTTTGAGTCACTGCATTGACTTATTTCCCAACTGACGTCATGCATAGAGTCCAACCGTGTGTCGGGCTTTATGATAAGCCTTCTCAGCACTTATTATTTGGTTCTGTACAACGTTTGGGGGTGGGACGAAGCTACATAATGACCTTTGAAACCCCAGGGAATTGTTTCATGCCATTTATTAGGAGTCGTGAGGACGCATCCCGTGGACGATCGTTCGTGTGATTGGGTGCTGGTTACCAAATTATCGCCTCGGAGTGTGTTTCAACCTCACCACCACTGCCTGCTAGCCCACCTCCACTCTGTTCTCTCTTTCTCAATAAAAAGAAGCGAAATTTAAAAGAAATAAAAGATGCATCAATCAGAAACAGACTTGTATGTACAGATCGAAATCGGCGTACAGTGAGATTGGAGGTTTTCATGTGGAGATTACGCAACTGTGGGGCATCATTACAGCTGTTTGACTAATAAGTAGAAATATAATAAAAATATGACTAGCCAAAAACGAGCACTCAGTTTAACACGCTAAAATCGCAGGGACAACATTTTCAATGTTTGTATTAGTTTTTGTTTCTCTACTTCCAATTCGGGCTCGGGATTGGCAAATGTCTCCTTTGACCAGAACTGATCGAGTGCACTATCCCAGGCGAAAGGACGGCATTCCAATCCGCAAAGTGCATTGGAAAGCCGTGAAAGGAAACAGAGAAGCTCTGAATCCAAACGCACTTCATCTGTCACTTTCAGTTGGTTTACTCGACCACCACGATCACAGTAAAGACGAACGGAATCGAGAAATTCATCACCACCAGCACTCATGGTCCCGTCATTCACGTCCACATCGAATGCCGGACTGGAACCGTAAATCCAATCCCACTGAGTGAACTCTTTTAACTTTTGCTCAAATTGACCGTGGTTTACATATTCATATTCCTCGTGTTCAGGGACTCGGATTACTTTGGGTTTCTGATGAGATCCGTCAATCTGAAAGCGCAATTAATGGTATTGAATTATTGGTCGGAAAGTATTTCGGCATAATTTATGCTCATATTCAAGTTGAAGATGAATAAAGTGCGATGGAAATGTTTGTGATAAAGAACAAAGAGAACTGGACAGCTGTTTCGTCCTGTTTGGGACTCGTCACCAGCGCGTACTTTTGTGTCGCTGTCACGACTCGAACCGTGATTCTTCGGGCGGGGACTTCAAACCCTGACTTACCCTTGGGCTACACGGTCGATGGTTATCACCTTGTGCGAATGGCCCAATTAATGTAGATGGGGAATGTTTGGATTAGCCCATTCGGTTTTTCACAGGCACCAGGCACTGTTGATGATGTTCGATGTGGGTTGGTTATCACAAACATTTCCATCGCAGTAAAATACAAACAAACAGTGGGGAATTAACGATCTCCTAAGGAGTGAAACCCACATCGGACATCATCAACAGTGCCTGGTGCCTGTGAAAAACCGAATGGGCTGAACCAAGTATTCACCATCTGAATATGAATAAAGTTTATGCTTCCGATGGGTGTATTCTCAACCTTTTGCTATGAAAGACACCAAAGAAGTAGGACGGAGCCGGAGTGAAGCGTGACAAAATAATACAGGCAATGAAAAATACAAACACAAAAGAACGATTCTTCGGTTTCGTAGCAATGGGTGTCGGTTGTGCTCAACCACGGGCAACCTGAGCATGGGCGCAATTTCTCGGAGTGGTATTAGGCGTAAAAATACACCAAAATCGGGAACAAGCCCAATAAGATCAATATTGCTAACAACGATATTCATTCGATGTGAAGTTATGGCTAAATCATTAGTATATCCACAAACAATAGGGTCAATCAAAAATTTCCCGGGAATACTGCAGCAAAACGTGAAGCCATAAATTTGATTGTGGACTTTTTTCTTTGAGGTCGGGAAAAACGTGTAAGGGGAGCATCACAGATAATGTGGAATAATGCACTCAGTTACCGTTTTGGGGATTATATGCAACAACATGGTAATGTTTTCGAGCCTGGAAGCGGCAAAGGGGTCTTCGAAAAATCCCAGGGTGAACATATTCAACATTTCTGTAGCAGGGAGGAAATGACACTTAGGTATTGTTTGCAAAAATATTTTTCAGAATGGTGTTCATCAACATTGGCAGGTTAACTACGATTCATTAGGAGCTCAGAAGGGGAGGACTTTTCGTTGTTGCAAGGAGTGGATTGTGTCCAAAGAGGCGGAGTTAACTGATAAAATATCAACTTCGAAGACAACCAGAAAAGTACTGAATTAGAGCGCCACAGTAAAATGACCTAAAGACCGATATAATCAAAAACGTGTTTAGCGCTCATTCATTCAGAGATGACGGAAGGATTAAAATGTGGGCGAAATTAGAGATAGAGAGTAAAAGCTAGCAAGCGCCAAAAGCATCAGACACGAGAATCATCCGGTTTTGTGGCATCATCGAAAAATGTCGGAATCACTGAGATTCAAGCAAACCACCTTTCTTGTGACTTGGTCTGGTTCATGCGGATATCCGGCAATCGTTCATTCCTCCCGAGGTCATATACAAAGTGAATAATTCAACAGTAGGTGTTGCGTGTTATTCGGTGCAAATTTTCACTAGGATAGGGGATGGTGGATGAGGAGCGTGAGCCTGGTGAAACTTGACGTACGCCAGTATCTTGGTCAGAAAGTGGGAGTGTCTCCATATGGATGTGGAAAGGCGGCAGTGAGTTGGATTTGGATGCATCGTAGGTTAACTTTCACTTTCGAACGGAGTTCCCTATTTGTATGGCAGTTCATTCAAATCTCAACATGACTCCTTCCGTCCAGAATGGTGTCAATATACATCCGATTCAAACGTTATCTCTCTAGCTTGATAAGGATGGATAGTTGTTTCACAATAGCATACCTAGCAGTCATATAAACCGTTGAGCTATCGAGACCAAGTCGTTTAAGGAAGCCGATGCGCATCAAACTGAGTGAGTAAATAAAGTTTCAAACGGTAGACATGAACTGAAGCACAAATTGAAATACTCGGGGAAATGTTCAGATTTGGAAGCTTTTAAAGTTTTATATCCTAAATTGTTAAGTAACTGTTTCCAAGTGAATCTTACCCTATAAAGAATTCCTCCTGATGATTCAGGAGGCAAGAGGTACTGGAAATACCTGATATCAGTGTTTGGGTATAAGAAGTAGTGCTGTGGTCTGAAAGGGCCTGTTTTTATGCGGAAACGACATGGGAGTCACGGAGTTCTGTGGGAGTAGGCAAGAAGTGTGACACCTCAAATTCGAATTGCCCATTAAATTTACAGAAGCATATGGCATCCACCACTTAGTATGTAAGCTGACTGCCCCGACAGGTTTTCCTTAGAATTCACCAGAGTCCACCGAATGAATATCTATGGCAAGGTTAATTGTGCAAATGGTTATTTGACAGATTGGATTTTTATGTTGGGATTGTGAAAAGTTCGGTAGCCTCAGTGGGATTAGAATATGAAAAGATCAGCGCTATCAGTGTGACCTCGTAGTTCAGCTGGTACAGCGTTCGCTGTACAAAAGCGTAGGCGGTGTCCATGCGTGGGTTCGAATTCCGCCGAGGCTACTTAACTTTTCACAATACCAACATAAATGGCAGTTTTGTAAACAACGGTGCTCATTGTTGTTTTTGTAGCTCGGGTGGTATAATATGNCAATTGCCAAGCTCGGCGAACAACCGAACGTCACCAACATTAATCTTCAATCTGTCAAACAAACGTTTACACCTCAGATTGTCAGGAGCAGGACATCAAAAGGATGACAATTGCCAGCGAAAATGCACCAGAAGACTGGCGTAATTCCGTCTCAAACTGTGAGGTGAAAGAATCAACAAACAAACTAATACCGGATGCGGGCGTGTCAGGGGCAATGTTAATGTTATGGCATGACGAAAACGATGAACGGAAATATAAATACCTTTAGCAGTAATAAACTGAAGAAAGGATATCTATGCAACATTGTCAGTTTACGAAAGGAACTACCGTTCGAGTACTTTAAAAAGTTCAGAGGTTGAGCATCTGCGAGAAAATCCAGTAGACTAAGGTCACCCTCAATATCAAGACGTGCACAAGCTTCTTGGAGTAAAAGTACCCCACGTTTTGCATTTCTTGTGACACATCATCGTACAGCGAGATACAGTGAGTCGAACCTTACTGGTCGCTGCCAAATTCACAATGCACGCAAGGTAAGTAAGAATGTGTAAGGAGGAGAGGGATTAGGCTTATTTTGGGGAACTCGGAAAGAAAGTGAACCTCTGTGGTCAACATACAGAGAACACAGTCCAACTGTGTGCACACACACAAGTTCAAGCGTTTGTATCTGATAAGTGACAACAAGATCGGCACTGCTGTCGGTTTGCTGCCATGACCTTCAGTGTCTCCAACTATACGGCTACGAAGTCTTTTGAACCCCAACCCGGAAGACGACAGACACCTACTCTTCCTAGTCGCTCTGTGCATTTCTTCATGCCTCGTCTCCACGTCATCCGTTGATCTCCACGTTATTTTCTCTGTCCGCGATCGGTGCGCCAAAGCGTGTCCTAACCAGCGGAGGCTGCTACGCTGAATTTGATGCGATAGCGAGTGCGTTGGCAAACACGCGACGACTCACATTTGGGTTACTGACAAGCTTACTGCATTCCCCCAAGGCCAAACTATGATTGTTTAAAACCTCCAGGCGACAGATGTCTTCTACACGCAACTTCAAAATCTCACAGCCGTAAAGCCGACCGTACAGTGGTGCAGTATACGCTAGCTTTCAACTTTGGTGTTGCGTATCAGTTGGAGTATTGTTTGACCAATGTTTGATTCAGCTGCTACTTCCATTTCTCTAACTACTGTCATTCACCACCATCCAGCATCGCCATGAGCGAGTGAATGAGAAGTACCTGAAGCAAACACGCACGATGAAATCGAGGGAGGTAAGAAACTTGTGATTATGGGGCAACAGTTGAGTTCAGATGAAATTTATAAAGCAAAAAAGAAAGTAATACTAAAACTCAACGAAATATTCGTTGAACTTCTTTTACTGTGTTCTCGAAGTGCGGTCCAAAAGATCTCAAGGTGGCTGTAGATTGACAGATTAGGGGATGCCATCGAGCAATAGAATTCTTAATTGTGAGTGGACATGTATGGATCGAAATCCGGCGATACC